ATTAATGTCTATTTTGAAATAGAATCCAAAACCGAGGTCAAAGATACTAAATTCTCTTCAAAAGCCTATGGCACACGAGAAAGCAAATCAACAAATATCCTTTGAATCTTAATTTAACTCCTTTTATTTTTATATAAACATTATCATCACCTTGACTTTCAGTTACATATTGAAGGTCGAATTCAATTCGATATACTTCAAGTAATGCAACGTGACTATAAACTCAGATCATATACTTTAAACTCCGTCTCTGCTCATTTTTTGGGTAAGTTTATTGTTATAATGTTGTCGTTTTAGGGTGATTCAAAATATTAGCTACAAAATTCATCAATTCTTAGGTGAACAGAAAGAAGAAGTCCATCATTCTATTATCACAGATCTGCAAAATGGCAACAGTGAAACTCGCCGTCGTCTAGCAATATATTGTTTAAAAGTATTTCTTATGAATATTATTTATTATATTAATACCTTTATTCTCCATATTCACATAATTCTATTAATTATTTTAGGATGCATTTTTGCCTCAAAGATTAATGGATAAGTTAATGTGTTTTATTAATTATATGGAAATGGCCCGAGTTACGGGAATACCTTTCAATTATATTTTAGCGAGAGGACAACAAATTAAAGTTATATCACAACTATTCAGAAAGGCCTTTGAACAGGATTTAGTTATCCCCTCTTTAAAATCAGAAAGTAATGATGAATCTATATTTCTGAATAATTTAATAATTATTGATTCATTATTTAATTGATAAAATTTACTATTTTCAAATTCATAAATAGACAGTGATGAACCATTTGAAGGTGCAACGGTAATCGAGCCACTAAAGGGATATTATGATCTCCCAATCACAACCCTTGATTTCAGTTCTTTGTATCCATCGATTATGATGGCACATAATATATGCTACACAACGCTATTGGATAATAATGACATAACTGCATTAAATTTAAAACAAGATGAGGATTATATACTTACACCCGTGAACGGTAAATTAATAAATTTTTAAAGTGAATTTACTCTTTTGGCTCTATTAACCCATTATTTCACGAAAATTATTAGCACGATTTGTCAAAACTCATCGTCGTAAAGGTGTTTTGCCAACTATTTTGGAAGATTTATTATCTGCTAGAAAAAAAGCCAAAGCTGATTTAAAAAATGCGACAGATCCTTTTAAAAGAGCAGTGCTAGATGGTCGGCAACTGGCGCTTAAGGTAATTAATTACTCTAAAATTATGACATCTTTTTTTATTATGGGCTATTTTTTTTTTACAATAGATTAGCGCAAACTCTGTTTATGGGTTTACTGGTGCGACTATTGGAAAACTTCCTTGCATTGAGATTTCATCAAGTGTAACAGCATATGGACGAGAGATGATTGAAAAAACAAAGCAGGTATGTCTTGCCATCATAATTAATATATAAGACTAAATATCGATTAATACTTGTAAGTTCAATTCGTTTATTTTAGGAAGTGGAGAATCACTATAAAATAATAAATGGATATAAGCATGATGCCACCGTTATTTATGGCGATACTGATTCGGTGATGGTGAAATTTGGAGTTGATAATTTAGAAGAAGCAATGAAATTAGGTAATTAACTTGCAGGGTTAAAAATAAAAATTTAGAAGCGCACATTTTATCATCCATCCAATCAATATTCTTTTAGGCAAAGAAGCAGCTGATCTTGTTACCAGCAAATTCATTAAACCGATCAATCTGGAATTTGAAAAAGTATATTTTCCATATTTATTAATAAGTAAGAAGCGTTATGCTGGGCTATATTGGACAAATCCAAATAAATGGGACAAATTAGATACAAAAGGGATTGAAGTAAGTATTATTTACCATCATGTAGAATAATTTTAATAAAAGGATTTCTTTATCTCATTAATATTTTACGTTAAATATAGACTGTTAGGCGTGATAATTGCCTTCTTGTCCAAAATGTAATAGAAACGTGCCTGAGAAAAATCCTTGTTGATAGAGATGTTGAGGGAGCTAAAGAGTGATCCATCTATTTTAGTCTAATTATTGATATGCTCAAAAGGATTTCTATTTAAATCTAATATTCATTCTCATAAACTAGATATACAATGAAAACTATATCAGACCTTCTACAAAATAAAATAGATATGTCACAATTAGTAATCACAAAGGCCCTAAGCAAATCCGAAGACGGTAATTATTTTTTATTTAAGTTGCGACTTAATAAATTTTGTCGGATACTTGATTTTCTATATTTATAGATTATGCAGGAAAACAAGCTCATGTAGAGCTCGCAGGAAGAATGAGAAAGCGTGATGCAGGTATCTACATTTGAATTGTCTTATTATTTCTTTACATAAGAATATTACAATGTCTTATTTAATACTTAAGGTTCAGCACCAACTCTTGGGGATCGTGTTGCATATGTTATAGTGAAGTCTACCAAAGGTCAATAACAAAATCAATAACACTTTACACACTTATTATTAAATAATTATTTGGTTAAAGCCTTTGCATTATTATAGGTGCTGCTGCTTATGAAAGATCAGAAGATCCCATTTATGTACTCGAAAATAATATACCAATTGATACCAAATACTATCTTGATAATCAATTATCCAAACCTTTAATGAGAATTTTTGAGCCTATTCTTGGAGAAAAAGCACAACATTTACGTGAGGATAAATGCATATATTTATATTTTAGTCATTTCTTTTAACATGTTGATTTTAAATATCTATTATTTGTTATAGTTGATGGTGATCATACACGCAAAATTGCGGTTCAAACTCCGACTGTTGGTGGACTTATGAAATTCGCAGTAAAAACTGCAACTTGCCTGGGCTGCAAAACTCCTTTACCCAAAAATGGTAAATATACATTGATTTTGAATATGAATTATATATAGCAAACTTTATTAATAAATACTTGCATCCTTTCTTAAGAATCGGCAGTCTGTCATCATTGTACCACAAAATTGGGGGGTTTATATCACAAACAGGTACACTATTTTCCCTTTTGTTTATGTTATTAATTGGCACTTATTTGACCTTAACTTTTTGTTCAGCTGGATACAGTTAATAAACTTGAAGTTCAATTTGCCCGATTATGGACACAATGTCAAAGATGTCAAGGAAGTTTACATCAGGATGTTATTTGCACCAATAATAGTTGTCCAATATATTTTGCTCGAAAAAAAGCACAAAA